GGGGTTTTACCATGTTGGCCAGGCTGGTCTCAAACTCCTGACCTCAGATGATCCTCCAGCCTCAGCCTCCCAAAGTGCTGGGATTACAGATGTGAGCCACTGTGCCCAGCTAGATTTATTTTTAAGACAATGTGTTTTTTGTCCCTAACAAAAGGCGTTTAATACTAAGCCCATCACCATTTCTTCCCCTCTCCTGGAAAACCAGTACCACCGCCTATGTTTCTCATTTCAGTGAATGAACAGATTTCTAGCCTTGCATGGAAATCTGGTGTCAAAAAAAAGCCGGGGGCGGGGGTGGAATTCACATTATCGGTAACGGTGTTAAAGTGTACCACTCAGTGGTATTTAGTGTATTCACAATGTTGTACAACCAACCACCAGCTCTCTCTAGTTTTAAAACTTTTTCATCACACCATTAAATCACCCCTATACCCGTTAAGTAATTATGCCCCATTTCTCCCTTCTCTCATTGTGTAATCTACTTTCTGTCTCTCTGGATTTGCCTATTCTGGATATATCATATAAAATAAGTTGTATAATGTGTGACCTTATATGTCCGGCCTCTCTACCTTAGCCTGATGTTACTGAGCTTCATATATTAGTACTTCATTTCTTTCTATGGCTGAATAATATTTCATTGTATGTATATACTGCAGTTTATTCATTTGTCGACGGATGTTTGAGTTTCTGTCTTTTGATCATTACAACAAATACTGCTACAGACATTCATGTACAACTTTCTGTGTGGACAGATGTTAGGTATATACCTAGAAGTGGAATTGCTGGGTCATATGGTAACTCTGCTCAACTTTTTTATCATATGTCATTTTCCTTTTTTTTTTTTTTAAAAAAAATACATGTTTATTTTTTAAACTGAGACAGGATCTGGCTGTGTTGCCCAGGCTGGAGTGCCCTGGTGTCATCTCAGGTCATGGCAACCTCCGCCTCCTGATCTCATCTTCCCACCTCAGCCTCCGTGAGTAGCTGGGTCTGTAGGTGCACGCCACCATGCCTGGCTACTTTTTTTCTTTTTTTTTTTCTTCGTAGAGACAAGGTTTTGCCATGTTGCATCAAACTCCTGGGCTCAAACCATCTGCCCACGTCAGCCTCCCAAAGTGTTGGGATTACAGGCATGAGCCACCACGCCCAGCTCATGTCATTTTTGATTTACTACTTTAAGCCCTACTTCTTTAACATCACCAGGTTAGGGTGATTGATTCTGTCTTCTAAATATCCCTGTTTTCTTCATTGTTTCCTCGGCTATATACTTGAGGTTCGCTTTTCAGGATTACTTGAATTGCTTGCTTTTTGTTTCTTTGTCCTCGTCATGCCTTATTTACACAATCTTCTACATACTACAAGATTGGTTTTTGCAAATGTAAATCTCATGAGGTCACCCCATTGTTTAAAAGAAAAAGAAAAAAAGAACCACCCTTCAAAGGCTTATCATTGCCCTCTGGATAAAGTCCAAGCATGCAGGGCTTACAAAGGCCCTTTGCTGTCCAGCTTTTGACATTCTGTTTAGTTTCAGCTGCTCCCCTGCCCCCCGCCGTTCCAGTCATATACTGATTGCCCTATTTCAAGTTTTTGTACATGCTCCTCTACCTAAAGTAGAGGTTCAGATTCTAAACCTTGAATTTCCTCACCCAAATCCTTTATTTCTTTTCTTTGTAGAAGCCTTTTCTTATTCCTCATGATTATGTTATGTGCCTTTCTTTTTTGTGTGCCCTCAAATTCTTGTACTGTTGTTGGAGCACATTGTAATTGCCTGTTTACTTCTCTGGAGATCAGAAGCCGATGTTGGTCAAGTGCCAGAAGATGTAGACGGACTGAAGTACAATCAATAGGAATTTAGCAGAAGCCAAAAGATTATTTGATAAATTATTTAGGGAAGACTTCATGGAAGGGGCTAGTATTGATAGGGACCTTGAAGGAAGCATTCATGAAGGTATGGTACGGTTCTATCGCTTTAAGTGGATTAAGCCTGTTAAATATTCATGCATCTAGACCTAGGAAGAGTCATGCTGGGGGCAGAAGCCATGACAAAAGTGAGGCGTTGGACATTTTTCAGCATTGCTTTTGTATTTACTTCCACAAGCAAAGGACACAATTAGGCCTGCAGAAGAGATGCATGGAAAGAATGGGCAAAAGATTTCAAGAACTTGGGGGTTGTGACAAGAGTAAGAAGCAATGATATACTTTGGAGTATCATATGGAAAGTGTAAGGAAATTTTCAAGGGTAATTTTGACCATGTAATTTTGTAATAAATAATTTCAGAGCTTACTCACCTATGTTTATAAACCCTGGACTTCTGGTGGAAAATGCAACAACTAGGTAATTTCTGGATATATTATAGAATCTTTCACAAGACTGTTGCGTACAGTGTTGCAGAAAATGGCCCAAGTAATGTAATGGTGTTTATCTAGAAAAAGGTTGGAAATGAGATCACTCATGTAGAAAATAACTCCTCACAGCGCATTTGTGTGTGCTCCACTCCATCCCTCAGTCGACAGGAAAGTGTGACTTTCTGTTTTACTAGAATGTCTGCAACATAGTTGGCACTCAGTACACATATGCATGCATAAACAAAGTAACTGAAAATGCTATTCCCATCTTAATGTGTTTGCACTTTCAATATCTTTAAAAAGTATTTTAGATTAGCCACTTTAAAGTAAAAATACCTTTCTTGTATATTGAAATACAGCGCTGATTTTAACTATTTGTAAAAGTCTAGTTTGCCTGTTATGCAAAAATATTAGACTTATACATATCTCCCCTCAAATTTCAAGAAAAGAAGCACTTCCATGTTTAAACATAAAGTTTTTATTTTTATTTTTGAGACAGAGTCTCGCTTTGTCACCCAGGCTAGAGTACAGGGGCATGGTCTCGGCTCAGTGCAGCCTCTGCCTCCCAGGTCAAGTGATCCTCCTGCCCCAGCCTCCTGAGTAGCTGGGATTACAGGTGTCCACCTCCATGCCTGGCCAATTTCTGTATTTTTACTAAAGACAGGGTTTCACCATGTTGGCCAGGCTGGTCTTGAACTCCCGACCTCAAGTGATCCACCCTCCTTGGCCTCCTGAAAGTGTTGAGATTACAGGTGAGCCACCACGCCCGGCCTAAAGAATAAATTTTCACTGTTGACTTTCTCATATTTTGCTGGCATGTTGTTAAATCCTAGTCGTTGAAATAATACCATCTCTGATTACCCCCAAAATTAATATCTCCTCAGTTACCTACACATTGGTTCAGTCGTTGGTAGCACTCCGAGCTGTATTATACTGTCTTTCATCCTTAGGCAAAGCTGCGTGAGAATGATGGCAGGTAGTACACGAGAATTACACACCTGTTGAGACTCCCACCAAGTCCTTTTCAAACCACTCTACTCTTGCATGTTCTTTGTCCCCACTTTCCAATTTGAGCCAATGAGTACCCAATTCCACTGGCAGGTAAAATGTGATAATTTTGTGGGTGATTGATACGTGCATTCACTATTGTGATTGTTGTGTTGGTTCCTCTGGTGTATACATATATCAGTACTTATTAAATTGTTTTTTGTTTTTGTTTTTGTTTTTGAGATGGAGTCTTGCTCTGTCACCCAGGCTGGAATGCAATGAATGGCGTGATCTTGGCTCAATGCAACATTTGCCTCCCAGGTTCAAGCAGTTCTCCTGCCTCAGCCTTCTGAGTAACTGGGATTATAGGCGCATGCCACCATGCCCAGCTAATTTTTAAATTTTTATTTATTTATTTATTTTTAATTTTTTTTTTTTTTGTTTGAGACAGAGTTTTGCTCTTGTTGCCCAGGCTGGAATGCAATGGTGTGATCTCAGCTCACCGCAACCTCTGCTTCCCAGGTTCAAGCAATTCTTCTGCCTCAGCCTCCTGAGTAGCTGGGATTACCGGCATGCCCCACTACACCTGGCTAATTTTGTATTTTTAGTAGAGACGGGGTTTCTCCATGTTAATAGGCCGGTCTCAAACTCTCGACCTCAGGTGGTCCACCTGCTTCGGCCTCCCAAAGTGCTGGGATTACAGGTGTGAACCACTGTGCCTGGCCAAATTGTGTAATTTAAGCCTGTGCAGTTCACCGAATGTCAGTTATACCTCATTAAACTGTTTAAAAATTTCTCATATGGTCTGCTCACCATTAGTAGGCCAGTACTTTATTAAGTCTGGTGTCTCTGGAAACATTTTGGGCCCTGCACCCCTGCTCACCTGCTCCTTAAGGTCCCTGTCTTGGCTTGTATGCCCCCACCTCGCTAGTTCCTCGCCTCTCGTTTCCCACCCTGTCATTCTTTCTCCATGCCACGGCACTCTCTTTAGAAGAGAAGAACCTCATGATGCTACAGCCATTCCTGTATGCTCTAGCTATTACTCTTAAGCTAATCCTGTGTCCCAGAGGCTGTGGCTGTCAGAGGGTCAACATACACAGATAAGACTTATGGGACCTCTGCTCTCCTTGTGCTCAGAGATGGATGGGCACACAGGAGCACTGTAGGAGCAGGTCCCCACGACTACAGGGACATGTCAAATAGGAGTACAAATGTTAGTACAAATGAAAGTTATTAAGCTCAGTATATTCCAATGAAAAGGTATGATTAGACACTCTGAAAGCATACCCTAAAGACAGCAGCTTAAGAATTGCCAACTTGATTTGATTTCTGGGGTTCCCTCTGAACGAGAATCTCTGGGGGATGGGCCTGGATATCTGCATTTTAATAAGCTTCCTTAAAAGACCACTGTAGGGCCACCCAGAATGACAAGAGCCTGGCTGGACACCAGTAGAAGTTGATCTTCTGGAGAGTTTGCTTTACCCAGGACTTTCTTACAGTATAGACATGAAAATATTTTGGCCATCAAGTAGCATCTTGCCTGGCAAGGTATATCTGTTTGATGGTTTAAAACTTATATATAACATGTATGCTCAAGTTCTGTAATTTATCTATTGGATGAAAATTTTGTGCTTAAATGTATTGATTAAACTTTGCTTTTTCCACAGAACTCAACAAAAATCCAGTGGAAGGCTTTTCTGCAGGTTTAATAGATGACAATGATCTCTACCGATGGGAAGTCCTTATTATTGGCCCTCCAGATACACTTTAGTAAGTATAATGGGACTGACATCTTCAAAATGGAGCTCTTTTAATACATTGAATTAAAACCTATTTTGGCAGGCTGGGCGCGGTGGCTCACGCCTGTAATCCTAGCACTTTGGGAATGGGTGTGGTGACACGCGCCTGTAGTCCCAGCTACTCAGGAGGCTGAGGCAGGAGAATCAGTTGAACTCAGGAGGCAGAGGTTGCAGTAAGCTGAGACCACACCATTGCACTCCAGCCTGGGTGACAGAGTGAGACTCCATCTCAAAACAAAACAAAGCAAAAACACAAGTATTTTGGCAAACTGAAATGAAATTATTTTTTAAGGAGCAGGAGAAATGGCTGTATTCAGTATCCTTTGTACTGAATTGGATCATCGAAGAGTTTTTGTGTTCTCCTTGAATCTCTAATGTCTAAGACCTATTGCTATTAAAAATAATAGTTTCAGGCTGGGTGTGGTGGCTCACGCCTGCAATCCCAGTACTTTAGGAGGCTGAGGTGGGTGGATCACCTGAGAGGTCAGGAGTTTGATACCAGCCTGGCCAACATGGTGAAACCCTATCTCTACTAAAAATACGAAAATTAGCCAGGCGTGGTGGCACGCCTGTAATCCCAGCTATCCAGGAGGCTGAGGCAGGAGAATTATATATTTTTTGGACATTTTAATTGAGAATGTATTATACACATCAATGTTTTAAGAAGGCTAAGGAGAATTTTCAAGATCGTCTATTTTCGTGGTTCTCTACTTGAGTCCCCACTGAATACTGGTTAGAATCTAGGTGTTCTTATCCTATACTAAACTAATGGTCACTTTCTCCTAGTTTGTTGAAAGTTATTGTTAAACTATATGATAATCTGTTAACTGACTATTAATTGTTAAACCAATGACTTAAGGACAGACAACAATGTAGTGGTATTAAATAAGAGTAGAAGAAGAGAAGTAGAATTTTAAAAATATTTCATGTAGTACATTTCTAGATGCAAAGATCACAGTCGTATTTTCTGCTCTGAGTGTTTGCAGACTAACTTAAATTTACTAGTATGTATTGTTTTGTAAGATGCATCTGCCAGGCGCGGTGGCTCACGCCTGTAATCCCAGCACTTTGGGAGACTGAGGTAGGCAGATCACGAGGTCATGAGTTCGAGACCAGCCCGACCAACATGGTGAAACCCTGTCCCTACTAAAAAGACAAAAAAATTAGCCGGGTGTGGTGGCGCGCACCTGTAATTCAGCTACTCAGGAGGCTGAGGCAGGAGAATCGCTAGAACCCAGGAAGTGGAGGTTGCAGTGAGCTGAGATAGCGCCATTGCACTCCAGCCTGGGTGACAGAGCGAGACTCCATCTCACACACACACACACAAAGATGCATCAAGACTTCCTTACATTGGTGACTGATACAAGTTTCCATGCTTTTTACAGCAGTTCAGGTATTGGGGGAAAAAAAGGAAGTGACCTTTTAAAGCCAACTGAGTGACAGGGACAGATCTAGATCTGAGTTTCTTGAGGTCTGGACTATACTTTCTCATTTAACCTTCATCTCAATGGTGCTAAGTGGGTAAGGATTTGGATGCATCAAACATTTTTTTTGGTGATGGTCAGGTAGTTGTTTTTAGGTTTTCTGAGTTAGTAGCTCTTTTCCTCCTCAGAAAACAGCTGATGGAAAAGAAGATTTGGAGCTATTTCTCTGCCAGGCTAGGCTGATACGTAGAGTTGAACCGTAGTGTGGACATTTGTGTTTGTGATAACGATTGCCAATCCGAAATTTTGCTGATGTGTTTCCTGATAGTAGTTTGCATTGATAAGTTTTACAAATTGAGATAACTGAATTTGGCCACCCCACATGATTAAGGTTTTTGGCAGATAACAGTAGCCATTGAAGACCATCTGGAAGTGCTTCCTCCTAACCTTACTGTTATTTGAAAGCAAATTTCCTAACAGTTTTTTCACCAAAAGATGCTTGATGCAGCCAGATCCTTACCCACTTATCACACCTGGGATGTGAGCCCGGTGAAGTTCAGATCTATTCTTGTAGTTTTTCAACATCACCACCTTAGGAGACACAGCAACATTCCAGTGACAGAATCTAGTTACCCTTGTATTACATACATGAAAACAAGAAAAACTCACCTAAACTGATGTCTGTATGGAGCATTGGTTGGGAATCCAGATTTGAGCTCAATTCTAAGGGCCTCGTTGAAAATTTTTTTTTTTTTTTTTTGAGATGGAGTCTCGCTTTGTCTTTCAGTCTGGAGTGCAGTGGCGCGATCTTGGCTCACTGCAACCTCTGTCCCCTGGGTTCAAGTGATTCTGCTGCGTCAGCCTCCCAAGAAGCTGGAATTACAGGCACCTGCCACCACACCCGGCTAATTTTTGTATTTTTAGTAGAGATGCCATTTCACCATGTTGAGCAGGCTGGTCTCGAACTCCTGACCTCTCAGGATTAGATATACACCATTTTGTTACAATTGCCTACAGTATACAGTACAGTAAAATGCTGTATAGGTTTGTAGCCTGGGAACTATAGGCTGTATCCTAAAGCCCAGGTATGTAAGTAGGCCATACCCTGTAGGCTTGTGTATGTTCACTCTGATGTACAAAATCGCCCAAGGATGCCTTTCTCAGATCGTAACCCTGTCGTAAAGCCTCGCATAACTGACTGTATGTTGTGTACCTCCAGCTCCACCAAAGAGAAACACTTTTTCTTTTCACTAATAAACACCCGTTCCTGGGCTGGCGCTGTGGCTGACGCCTGTAATCCCAACACTTTGGGAGGCCGAGGCGGGCAGATCACGAGGTCAGGAGATCGAGACCATCCTGGCCAACATGGTGAAACCCTGTCTCTACTAAAAATGCAAAAATTAGCTGGGCGTGGTGGCGCGCACCTGTAGTCCCAGCTACTCAGGAGGCTGAGGCAGGAGAATTCTTGAATCCGGGAGGCGGAGGTTGCAGTGAGCCAAGATCACACCACTGTACTCCAGCCTGGTGACAGAGCAAGACTCCATCTCAAAAAAGAAAACAACACTGTTTCTGGTATTTGGTGTACATTTTTGAAAGTGTTGGCTGTTGACTTGAGATGTGAATCACAGCAGTGTTTCTGGCAGCTCCTCTGGAGTGTATATACGCTGCTGAGAATACTGGTGGTCACTTCTGGACTGTGCCTTCCTGAGATCAGTAGCCTTTGCTCAGGAAAGAGAGAGAGCGTGTTCCTAGGGCAGGACCTGAGAAAGGCAAAGCAAGATACAGGGGGATGAAGAAAGGTTTGTTAGAAGTAGGCCTTTTAAAATGCTACCAAGGATCATGTACTTCATAGAATGGATTTGTCGTTGGCTGGGCGTGGTGGCGTATGAGGCCGAGGCGGGCAGGATCATCTGAGGTCAAGAGTTGGAGACCAGCCTGACCAACACGGAGAAACCCCATCTCTACTAAAAATGCAAAATTAGCCGGGCATGGTGGTGGGTGCCTGTAATCCCAGCTACTCGGGAGGCTGAGGCAGGAGAATCGCTTGAACCCGGGAGGCAGACGTTGGCAGTGAGCTGGGATCGTGCCACTGCACTCCATCCAGCCTGGGCAACAAGAGGAAAACTCTGTCTCCAAAAAAAAAAAAAAAAAAAAGGTTGTCTTAACAGAAAGTAAGAAAGTAGTGATGTTCTTGTAATTATTTCAGTGGAATGGAGAGAGTAGCGGCCATCTTGGAATTGTTTGAAGAGCGCTATTGGGAGTGAATGTATATACCTTATGTATAAATAACTGCCTGTGAAGGGAAGTAGAGGCTTGTACTGGGGGGAAGGGGTGTTACAGGATTGAAAATAAATTAGTATAGACTCAGATGGTACCCAGACCTAAGTGGTTAATTCACTACTTTATAATTAGGTAATAGAAATAATACTGAACCAAAATTCTGTAAAAGCTGGTGTGATTATCTCACCGTGCCGTCATTAGCCCTCATTTAGTCACTAGAGGGCACTCCACTCTCTTCAGTCTATGTGATTGATAACTGGTACATTCAAGGGTTACTTTGAGACTCCTATAGTTGCCACAAGTCTTAATTCAGTCATACTCATCTTTATATTGCATTACATGTTTATTTTTATTAATGAATCTTTCCAGTGCAGTAGTCTTTCAGGTTTTTCTAGGAAATGTACACTCTGAACTGGTAAGGTATACCAACTATTTTCAGACTGATTATCAAGCAGTATGGATAACCACTCATATCCACAGAAATTGAAATTTCAGGTAGAAGTGGCAACAGGTTTGTAGTAAGGAAGTTTAGGATGGGCACAGTGGCTCATCACGTCTATAATCCCTGCACTTTGGGAGGCCAGGGGTGGAATGTTTGAGCTCAGAAGTTAGAGATCAGCTTGGGCTACATGGCGAAACTCTGTCTCTACAAAAAAAATACAAAAATAAGTCAGGCATGGTGATGCATGCCTGCAGTCAGGAGGCTGAGGTGGGAGGATCACTTGAGCCCAGGAGACTGCAGTGAGCCAAGATCATGCCACTGCACTCTAGCTTGGGCAACAGAGCTAGACCATGTCTTAAACAAACGAACAAAAAAACCCAGAAAGTTTAAGAAACCTGGATATCACTGTATAATTATAACATTTTACAAATTATTAATGAATGACGTCTGTGTATTTTCTATCTCTCTTTTCCTTTCATCACCAATGGCTGGTCTGTTCAAGGAGTATGCCTTATCTATTTATTTTGTTTTTAAGCACTGGCAATGGTATGAAAAATTTGGAGAATCTTAAGATTATGTGTTTTGTAGTATTGCCTTACCTTGGGTGGTTGTAGAAAATGAAGAATCAGTTAACCAAAACTCAGAATTACATTCTTTTACAGTTGCAAAATTCTATTCCAGTTATAAATTATTTTTATAATTTATATCCCTGTTATAAATTTATTTACTGTAAGATGTAGAGGCAGAAGCCATCTGTTCTGTAATGAAATTCTGGAGGGAATGAACCTAATGCCTACATTGCTTAGAAATTGAATGATCAGTGGT